CCCTCGAGGCCGCCACTCCCGCCCTGTCTGTGCTTCTCGGGAAGACCCCGCTCCTACCCCTGCACCAGGCGGTGTTTCTCCTTCCCGCCCTGCTGCGGGCAGCCCTGGTCTGTCTGGGGACAGCAGTGGGGAGGGAGAGGGAGACCGGCAGAGCTCAGAGCACCTAGGGTCACACCCAAGCACCCCACGAGGGACAGCGGTATTAGCAGCAGGGTGGGGCCAAATTAGAAAAAAAAAAAAAACTTCTAAAACTTAAAATAAGCCAGAATAAACCCATCCTGCTCCGGACTGGCTTAACCTGCGCTCTCCTGCCTGCTGATGCAGGAATATCTCCGAATCCAAATTTCATGTGGGTTCGAATGTTTCTAAATAGAAGCCTGATTCTTAAGTCTTGTTGCTTTTCCTGTAGTAACTAAATGACCTAAGCGGACTGACTCAGCCGGCCAGGAGAAAACACTGCGATTCTGCTTCACTTAGGGCCTAGGAGACGGAGGGTCGGGTGGCAGCCCCTGGGCGGGGCGGCGTTGGCAGCTGTCTCTTTGTGGACAGTGTGGGTCTGTGGGTCAGGAAGGTGAGAGATGGGCCGTGTCCACAGAGTGGCCTCGAGGGCGCTGACATGTCCACTGGCCGCGGAGCGTGAGTTCTGTCCTTCTGGGGCCCACTCTGTTTTCCGCGGCGAGGACGACACACAACCCTTGCACGCCCGCCTCAAGGGGCCAGACCGACCTTGGGCAATGCAGCGAGGAACCAGAGCCGTGACCTGGCCTGGGCGGTCAGGGGGTGAGCCCTTGCCACGCACGACAGCGTGGGTGGATCTGGGGTGCTCCTACCAGCAAAGTCAGGAGGAGGAGGAGGACAAACCTGGGCGTATCACTTACCTGTGGGCTCTAGAGAGCCAAAGGGTCAGAGGAAACCAAACTTAGAAATAACGGTGGACTCTGGTGAAGACTGCAGGTGCCTGGGTGTGGGGGAGGGGTGCTAATGGCACCTGGAGGGGCCATGTGTCCCTGTAACACACCAACAGCCTGACACCCCACCCCAAGAAGGAGAATGATGCTGTGATGCTAATGAAGAAGAGCTGAATGAGCTAAGTCAGCCGGGAAAAGAAATGCCAGGTGATGTCGCTCGTATGCGAACTACAGAGAACAAGACAGGCATGTGCACAACTAACCCAAAACCAACCCTGACTAGGATGGAGGCTACTACGGGGGGAGGCAGGAGAGCCTGAAGGCGGAGGGGACCCAGGGGACTCTGGTGGAGGGTGTGGTGACAAGCACCCGCCTATGTGGGCGCCCCTAAATTGCAGACGGTGCTCTAAACCGATGCTGCTTCAATAAAACATGCCCAATAAAAAACAAGAGTGTTAAGTCCAAAGAACAAGTACAGGAAACGCCAGAGAGGGTGCTCGCCTGCTTAGGTTTTTCTCTTTCTGTTTAGTCATCTCTCCCCAGGCCCAAACTTGCTTCAGAACATCTGATTCCGGGAGGCCTGAATCTCCAAAATTAATTGAAAAATAATAACCCAGGTACGGACTTTCAGTCACAAAGTCAGTCCTGGGAATGTCACCCACAGGGGCCACGTTTAATGATGCGACCTCGCATATCTGACAGTTGGCAAGGCGGCGATTTTAAAAGCTTCGCCCCAAGAAAAAGGATTTGTAAGTGGTGATGGGCGGGAATGGATTCATCGAGACGTGTTGGGGTGGTCGTTTGCAGTACGCACGGATACAGAATCATTATGTCGTGCACCTGGAACTAATCCTGGGTTCTCGGTCAGGCATACCTCACCTCAATAAATAAACCGTTTTTAAAGGTAAATAGTAATCACCCAGCTGTAGCACTCGTCGAGTGTATCAAGAGCCAGGCTTGCACGTCAGATACAGCCTCGGTCAAGAAACGGCTTTCAGGCAAACCTCACGGGGATGTGGGCGCAGGTGGTTCGGCGGAGGGAAAAACAAAACATTGGGGCAGATACGCAAATATCACAGCGTCGTTTACTGTCCCCCAGCTTGCTACTGGCTTTTTAAAATAAATAAACAAAACCACACACAGCCACCTCAGCGCTGGGAAAATGAAGCGCGATGTCTGTCTGTGCAGGGAGCCGGGGCTGCCGGGGGGAGGTTACAAGTCAGTGCAGTAAAATTCCCCGTGAAAACAAGCTCGTCGGTGTCCGGGCTCCTGCCCCGGGAGAGTCTGTTCCCTTAGGAGGAATCTGGGTCCATGAATCTGGTGGGAAAATCACGCAGGAAGGCACCCCAGTTCCCCAGTGACCATAAATCCACCTGAAAGCAAAACCCCTTCTGGTGTCTCTCGAGTCTCCGAGCTCATGTCCCAGAGGAAGCCTGACTCGCAGGTATAATTAAGGCGTGAGTCACCGGGGTAAGTCATGAGTAACCCCAAAAACACCTACGGGGAAAAATAAGTTCATGATAGCGCCCTGCACCGTGGGGGTTGAGGATGGCGGGCAGGAAGGAAAAGCCCGATGCCCAGTCTGTGCAGACGCCCAGGACACGATGCACAGGGCCCGCGTGGCCCTAACGTGTGGCTCCGGAACCGGCAGGTCCTGGTCCCTCTTCTATTCCGAGGACCGCGCGGGGTCAGCTCTGCTTTATTTATCCTTCCGTGTGCATCAGCCCATGGCCCCGAGCCTCCCACCGCGTGAGATCACACGCGTGACGGGGTAAGAGAGCCCAAGCTTAGAATCCAGAATAATCCAGAATCTAGAATAATCTGTTCCCACATCGGAGGCTGGAAAAGGAAAATGAAAGTCGACGCCCGGCGTGAGAAGTGCTGCTTATCAGAGACTGTGGGTGCATTTTTAAACATTTAGCCACAGGACTTCGGGTTAATGGAAAACAGGACGCGATGGTTGTATTTTATCCTGTTCATATCTCCGCCGCTGGCATCGGGGCGGCTGCTTGGAGCAGCCACAGAAAAGCTGAAAGGAAACTCTGCGTTAGGTGGCACGGCCTTTCAGGTGGTGGCACGGCCTTTCAGGTGGTGGCACGGCCTTTCAGGCGGTGCGATGGCCTTTCAGGCGGTGCGACGAGGAGATGTCAAATCGCGTCAGGGGCAGGACAGCCGGGCCCGGAGCTGTCACTCCAGGGGTGACCGAGAACACCCCGACCCCAGCCCCGTCCCCGGGCGCGTGGATGTGCGGGAGTGATGGTGTGAACACGGATGCAGAGTTTTTGTCTCGCCTCCCGGCCCAGCAGCAGTTCAGTCCTCACAGACGCCGCTGGCATCACCTTCCCTGTCTGGAGTGTGGGGTTTCCATGCTGCGCCCGCCCGAGGGCTTCCGATGCCGAACATCCTGACAATCCTGAAACTTAATTGGGAAAAATGTAAAGCACTTTAATGGAATTTTTCCCATGCTCCGTTGAGTTGCTTCAAACAGATGGTGCAGATGGACAAGGCAGTGAAAACAGAGAAATTAAAAGCAGATCCTTGAGAAAATAACTGGGTTCCCTGAGATCCTGCAGAGGCGCGGGGCGTCCTGCGCTGCTGTCCTTTCTGCTGCGGGAAACAGGGGTTCCAGAGAACCCAGCTCCTGGGGAACCCCTCCCAGCGCGTCTCCCAGCAGGGGCGCCTGGGCTGAGTCCCGAGGGGCGGCCAGCCCGAGTCTGGACTCTCCAGGCTTGCGGGACGGTTCCGCCCGGGTCCAGATGACACGCACAACATTGGGCCTGAAACAGAAATTCCTGGGCAGCGGCACCTGAGCCCCAGCCGACTTGGGGGGGGGGGAGCCCTCACACTTTCACCGCGACTTGGAAAGCCCTGACTTCCTCAGATCAGAGAAGGGGGAGAAAGGGACGCGAGATGGTTCCACCTGGAGCTTTGTAGGGGCGCGATCCCCCCCACCCCACGCTCAGAGGGCGGCCCCCCCAGCCCGCGTCGGGGGACATCTGCGCCTCAGGGCTGCGGGCAACCGGGGGGGGGGGGGGGGAGCGCGGGGCGCGGGGCGCAGGGGGCGCGGGGCGCAGGGGGCGCAGGGGGCGCGGGGCTCTGGGGTGGGGAGAGGCAGTGCGCGCGGGAGGGGCGCGGGGCGCGAGGCACGGGGGGGCGCGGGGAGCGCGGGTTTCTGGCGTGGGGAGAGGCGGTGCGCGCGGGGCGGGGCGGCGAGCGCTGGGCGCAAGGGGCGCGGGGCTCCGGGGTGGGGGCGGGGGGCGCGGGCGGGGCGGGGCGGGGGCTCCGGGCCGGGGCGGGGCGCGGGGCGCGGGGGGCGGGGCGCGGGGCGCGGGGCGGGGCGGGGGCTCCGGGCCGGGGCGCGGGGCGCGGGGCGCGGGGCGCGGGGGCGGGGCGCGGGGCGCGGGGGGCGGGGCGCGGGGCGCGGGGGCCGGGGCGGGGCGCAGGGGCCGGGGCGGGGCGGGGGCGCCGGGGCGGGGCGGGGGCGCGGGGCGCGGGCGCGGGGCGGGCGGGGCGGGGCGGGGGCTCCGGGCCGGGGCGCGGGGCGCGGGGCGCGGGGCGCGGGGCGGGGCGCGGGGGCCGGGGCGGGGCGCAGGGGCCGGGCGGGGCGCGGGCGGGCCGGGGCGGGGGCGCCGGGGCGGGCGGGGCGCGGGGCGCGGGGCGGGGCGGGGCGGGGCGGGGGCTCCGGGCCGGGGCGGGGCGCGGGGCGCGGGGCGCGGGGCGCGGGGGGCGGGGCGCGGGGCCGGGGCGGGGCGCAGGGGCCGGGGCGGGGCGGGGGCGCCGGGGCGGGCGGAGCGCGGGCGCCGCCGTGGGTGGGGCGCCGGAGGGGCGGGGGGCCGCGGGGGCGCGGCCGCGGGGGCGGGCCGGGTCCGCCCGCGCTCGGCTGCGTCGCGGGGGGAGGCTGGCGCGGGGTGGCTCCGGCGCCTGGGCCCGCGCGCAGCACCGTCCGGGCCCGAGCGCGCAGCTGCGGAGGCGCCGCGAGACCCCGCCCGGCCGGCCCGGCCCCGCCATGCGCCCCGGGGCCCGCGCCCCGCGCCGCCCCGCGCCCCTCCCCGCGCGCCCGAGCCCGAGCGCCCCCGCGGCCGCGCGCCGGGAGTTCTGAGCCGCGTCCGGACCGCGCCGCGCCGGGGCCATGGGGCTGCCCACCCTGGAGTTCAGCGACTCCTACCTGGACAGCCCCGACTTCAGGGAGCGCCTGCAGTGCCACGAGGTCGAGCTGGAGCGCACCAACAAGTTCATCAAGGAGCTCATCAAGGACGGCTCGCTGCTCATCGGCGCGCTCCGCAGTGAGTGCCGGCGGCCGGCGGGCGGGGGCGAGGCGGGGGCGGGCCCGGGGCGCCTTTTGTCTGAATGGCGGGGCGCGGCGGGCTCCCCTGCTGGCGGCCGGGGGCGCGCGCGGGGCGGGCTCGGGGGGCGGGCGGCCGGGCTGCCCAGGCCGCCTCCGGCGCGGCCCCCGCCGGTGCCGGGGAGAGCGACGGCCTTGCGCGCCCTTGACTGCTTTATTTTTATTTTTTTGCAATTTCTTGGTGCGCGGTTCCGACGCTTTTTAAAAGTCCCGAAGCAGGAGGGAGCCCGAGCTCGTCTTAGGGATCCAGTTCTGCTGGTTTCGCTCCTGCTGTTGCAAGAGCTCGTCCCTCCACAGCCGCCGGCTCTGCACACTCAGCGCTGGGCATTCAGGAGACGGGAGGACAGACAGCTGGGCAGCTGGACAGCTGGACACCGGGGAGTCCCTCCCTTTGCCAGCTCCGCGCTTCTTGATGGCTGACTGTTGTGGCTGGGTGGGTGCGCCTGGCCCGGGGATGAGTGTTCAGTGGCGAAAAGCAGGTCGAGCCCCCCAGATCTGCAGAACACACAGCCTGCCCCAGAGGCGGCTCTGCTCCCTTCTCAGGGGGTGCCCTCCTGGGGCACCTCCTCCTGGGGTTCTCTTTCCTCCCTCTGGAGCCCCCGGGATCTTCACTTACTGTTACTAACAGAAAGGGTTTCTAGGAGAAGAAGCTCCAGAGTTCCTTTCAGGGGCTGGCATGACTCAGGGTTAAGGCCTGTCCCACCAGGCATTTGCTCCTTAATCGAGGCTTTGAATATTTTAGCCACAGAAACGAAGCCCGGGAAGCTCTTCCCTTGGCTGGGTGAGCGAGCTGTTCCCCAGGGTACGGAGACTTTGGGGGCACTGGTGGTTCCCAGGACCACCTGCCAGGTGCGAGGTCAGCGGCCACAGGGTGGATGGAGGTGCGCGGTGTGGGGAGACCTGAGATCCCCCCCAGGCGCATCAGGGCGGTGTTTGGAAGCAAGATTCATGATAAGGCTGGGGCTCAGCAATGTCCTGGAATTTGTGTGCTACCAAATCCCCCCACCTTTTTTTATTTGAACCACCCCAAGTGCTAAAACATTGGTTTATCACTCGCGTTCCTGAACCAAGTGAAGACGTTATTTGATTCCCACATTCACTCATTTCTGCAGTTGCGGCTGCCGCTGATAAGCAGATGTGTGGGAAATGTGGTTGATCTGCGTTTCCCCGGCCTCTGTGTACACAAGCGCCGGAGACTTCCTCGAGGCCTGCGGGTCCTGGCGGAGGTCTCCGACCCGCCTGCTTGATTCAGCTCTGATGCCTCTTCAGAAAGAGCTTCAATGAGGCTGCTCCCCCCTCAGCTGGGAGGTCAGGGCCCCTGTCAAACAGCTGGAGAGGCTGCCACCGCCGTGGGGGGGCTGGGAAGTGGACACTTGTGCTGGTAATAAGATTTTACGATGCTGTGTTAATCTAGCCCGGCAAAAATTAGGTGATTCCCATCCTTAGGGTTTTCCCTTCCATTCCAGGAATCTTGAGAGTCAGTTCCCTGGTTTTATGCTCTTCAGCATCCAGCAGAGTCTCTGGGTGGGACTCGGATGTGCTGAGATGCCCGACTTTAACAACCCATCATGACTGTTCTCGTTTCGGAAGGAAAACATTTCATTCCTCGTTAAAAGAATTCCCAGCGCCAGCTGCCAAGGGGAGCGATTTGCAGCACTGATGACCCCCAGGGTGACGTGGTGGCACTGATTTTTTTTTTTCCCACTGAGCCACCTCTGTCCCTGGGGGCCGGGGGTGGGGTGCGCTGAGGAGATGCTGCAGCTGCTGACTGGCTGCTCTCGGAAGCTGCTGATAGGGTAGGAATGTGTCCTGGGCCTGGACGCCTGCTGCTTCTCTGCAGACCCCAGGGCACCCCCCAACTCCAGCCCTACCCCTTCCCACGATTTCCTTTCTGCCAGGGAAGCCCTGACCACCCCTCACTTCACCAGCCCTGAGTCAGCCCGTGTGTCCTTGTAAATGGAGATATCGATTAGATGGTTACCATTTTGAACACGTATGTCAGACTCTTAACACTTTTAAATGAATTCTGGCTTTTTCAACATCCGCATCGACGCGGTGAATCACAGTCTCTTAATGACACTGACTTAGACCCGAGTTTAGACTCTGTGCTTATCGGCAAGTCACTCCCGTGAGATGAGGGAACATCTATAAAAATCTTATCGGTAGGATTATTTGTTCACTGGGTCACGCACAATATTGGTATTTTGATATTGGAGAGTGTTTGATATGGTGAATCGGGTTTTAGTTCAAGCTGCATGACTCAGATCCCTACCCTGCTCAGCAAATATTGCTGTGAACTTTGTGCTTTAGCAGGTGCCAGCCTTAAAACGCGACTTGTGATTTCACGGCCTCTTTTCACTTTTATTAATTCTTTGCTTTTATGGATTTCAAGGGCATGTCTTTGAAGGACATTTCAAAATGGCTTTCCTGTGTTTTTTTACTTTCTCTTGTCTTTATGCCTTTGAGTCAGTGAACCTCCTTCGAGTAGAACGAGCTTTGCCTTTGCAGGGATGGACAGACCTTTTCTCTAAAAACAAGAGAACAGAATAGAACTGTGCTCCTTGAGCTGAATGGATGCGGTGGGGACAGGAGCCCAGCCTGCACCCCGCAGCCCCCTGCTTTCTTTCCTCTGCTCCTTCCTCTTGGGGCTCAGAGGGAAACTACCAGGTGCTCCCGCTCCTCTGTGGGGAGATGCGGAAGAGAGGGGTGCTAGTGGACGCTAAGCAGATTTCCTGAATTTTTTACGATCATTAAACACATACAAACATGGAGCACTCACTCTCATGCTTATTCGTACAATCTTGAAAGCACATCGGTTGGCAGATGAACCCGCAGCAATACTGCGAAACAGATTAAAAACCCGTCTGCGGCGCCTCCCTGACCTCGGTGGATGACAGTTTGCAGAAACGAAGTCTCCTCTCACGTCAAGACTGTGGCCGCGTCCTGCGTGCCGTGGGCTCAATTGCTGGCCACGTTTCTCGATGGGCTCTGCAGCTCTTCAAACTCCCCTTGCCCGGTGCCCGCCTCCGCTCCGCCAGTCACGACACGGGCCTGGTGGTGTTGCCTCTGCCCCGGAAGTGTCGCTTCTGCCCCCGGCCCTGGGACACAGGCTCGGAGGCCACGGGTGTGGGTGGTCACAGTCGGTCGCCCCAAGTTGGCGCCGTAGAACCTGCCATTAGTTAATGATTAGCAGGGGGCGCGTCCAGGTGGGGGACGGTGTCTCCTCTGGGGTCCTGACTGCAGTGCGGGACCGGGATGCCCGTGTGATCTGGGGTCTGGGTGGGTGTGCGCGGTAGATGGGAACCCTGCGCTGAATTGTCCTTGACAGCCTGAGGCACCTGCCCCCTTTCTGGCTGCTCTGTTCCCCAAACTCCCCTTAGCCTGGCTCTGCTGGGCTTTTCATGTCCGGGCCAGCCTCAATTTGTGTGTGTTCAGGACCCACTTGCCACCAGAACTTTGGGTGGCACAGGGGAGGTGTCCAGTGCAAGGGAGGGGACTGAAGGCAAGAGCCAGAAATTGGCTACTTTGCTTTTGTCAGCACCAGTCGATTCTGACCAGGGCTGCTGCTCAGTGTGGCGGGACGTGGCGTTTCTCGGGGTCATATTGTCCTAGCCCCGCCTTCACCCCCAGAGAGTCTCTGAGTTGTCTGCACTCTCCATATTTTCGGATTTGCTCTCCTGGCCCCCTGTGATTTTGCTTGGTGGTTGATCTTTTGTTTTGTTGGAGAACATCCTTTAGTAGCTTTCTGATAAGAGCGCCTGGGAAATGAAATGTTTGAAAATGTCTTTAGCTCGTTGTGATACTAACTACAGGTTTCTCGGGGTGTTCTTGTTTAGGGATATTTTGCTCTCCTGTCGTCTTAGCACTTTATATTGTGAGCTGTATCGTGAAGGTGGCAGAAATGTGGAATTAAATACATCAGCGCAGGCAGTGAGCTAAAAACACGGATGTCAATCAGCCCTCTAGAAAGAGCTGGTCAGTTGCCCTCATCAGGGTTTCCCCTACAGGGGTGGCCACCCCGAAGTCTCATGAGGAAGCGTAAGCTCAAGGAGCTCATAGTTGCCCCAGTAATTGTAAGCCCTCATTGGCTCTGAGACTGTCATTAAAATAAGGGGTTACAGTGGACACAGAGAATGGGCTGGCGGTGGGGAAGCTGGTGGTAGTGGCCAAACATGAATGGGCTGAGATACTTGAGTCACCCAGACTCTTGCACGGACAGGAACCCCTGTGTCCTGCACCTGATCAGGCCTGAGCCTGGAATCCCCCAAATCTGTGCCTGGCCGTTGGTTCGGGAACATGCACAGCCTCACGATGACAATACTGTCACATGCATCTGGCTTCATAACGAGAGCCTTTCAGGAAAGGCCAGAGTATCTAAAAGGCTCTGGGGCCCGGGGCGCCATCAAAGCTGACTGTTTCTAAAATGTCAAAAAAAAAGACATTTGAAAGACTGTCCGTGGGGCTTGCTGGGTTTACTAGGCCGTGCCGCAGCTTTTAGGGAGGACGGCTGTTGTTCAAGCCGTTTGCCCTGTTGGAGCTTGCGGGGCGTTTGCTGGGCTGCACTGGCCCCCGCGGCTTCCGGCTCGCCTGGCTGCCCCCGCAGCAGCTGCTCAGTGCCGGGAGCCTGGTCACCCAGTGAGTGGCCACGACTCCAGCCATTCGGTTCTTATAGTCTTTGGAGTTTGAGTTAAATGAGCAGCCGCCAGCGGCCCTCCCCAGGGAACTGGGATTAATTTTAGGAGCTGGTGGGTCAGGGATGGGGGCTGTCTCCCCTGTGGAGGCAGTTCCGGGTGGAAGCAGCCAGGCCTGTCTGGGCTCCAGTGGGCTCCAGGGGGCCGGAAGTCGGGCTGACCGAGCCCTCCTGTCCTCCTTGCCTCTGGGCCTCGGCACAAGCCCAACGGGTGGCCTCTGAGGTGTCTTCGTCTCCGCTGCTCGTGCTCT